GCCTGGCTTTGCACCTGCAGCCCTTCGCACACATTATTTCAACATGTGAATGGCATAGCCTTTAATGTCATGCTAAGCCGCAACCCATTTTCATTTGTTGCCCTCACATCCATCTCTCTCTCTCTCTCTCTCTCTCGGTCTCTCTTTCCCAATCTCTCTCTCTCTCTCTCTCTTCGAGCCCTGCTGTGCGAGAGGCTTTGTTTATTATTCGCTGCTCTCAGCAATGATTTGGCACAAATTAGCTGCAATTTATTTATGTGTGCAATTAGGCGAGCGGGCATTGAAAGTGTCGAGCGCTGCCGTTGACAAGGCAACTGAGCACGCATATTTAAAGCCCAGTGAACGCTAATGATTGAGCCACAAGGCTCAGCACTTAATTTGTAAGCGTGAATCTAATTGAAATGCACTCTAGTCTCTGGTGGCTATAATCGTGATTAAATAGAATAGAACAAAGACACAGTCATGACACCTAAACTCCTTGAATTAGAGAAAGGAAAATATATGATATAAAATACAGTAATATAAAAATTGCATTCATTAATTTGAAATATTTTTCCACGAACTTCACGAAATTTAATCCAGTGCTTGTAGCTGTCGCATGGCTAAAATTGCTTTTCTATAAACAATGTGTGCGGTTAATGATTTGGCTCAAGTTTCAGTTTGTGGAAAAATTGTTAATTAATACTATTGCGCTTGCTTTCTCATGATACTTAGGTTACAACGTAAATTTCATGCAGAACGAAGTCTGAATAAATATATATAATAGAACAATTATACACTGCCTATCACGTGTTTACTTTTGTGAAAATAATTGGAGTATTTGTTGATTTAATGGCGCTTGATATGTCTGCTTGCGTGCAGATAAATTATTTAATTGTTCTGCCAATTATAATAAATAAATAGTGCGGCATAAAAAGGATATGCATTGCTTTAAACGTGTTTTATGGTTCAATTTCTTATCTGGCTAGCACAATCTGAATCGATTGCCCCGCAATCAGTTGACCCAGCAGGTGACAAAAAAAAAATAAAATCATGGTTTATATATAATCAAATGGTGGAGCTGTTAACTGCTCTAATTCATTAGGCCACACTCCTTTTGGCACACACACACACACATTTACTCATACACTGTGGCGCTGTTCCTAATGAAGTTGGCCTAAAAACACAGCAGGAATTAGCCAACATTTTGTATATTTCGTTGACACTTTTATGCAGCAGAGCTGTTGGCCCTTTGCTTTTTGGCAGCTTTCATAATTGCACTGAAAACTGGAACACCTGCTGTGTGTGTGTGCGTGTGTGTGTGTGCGTGTGTGTACCATTAAATATGTGAATATCACACGAGAGCGGAAGTAAATATTTTATATTTGCATATTCGACACTAGTTTTTCATAGCAGCAACAAATTTGCATATTTTTCCACTTTTTTCTGTCGCATTTGTTTCCTTTCGCTTTTATTTTGCGCGCTTAATGAAGTCGACAAAGCAAAAACACAAAATGTAAATAAGAGCCACCAAATAAAAATAAAGAGAACAGAAATATATGTATATTTGTATATATATAAATTGTAGAACGGAACTGTTTAAGCCTTGCGACAGTCGCAATGACCCCCGAGCAGCTGCCTGAAAAGGCCTGAAAAAGCGTCCCAATTGGCCGGCAGCTAAATATTTGTTATAAATTATGCTCTTAATTAAGTGGCTCTGCAGGCATGAGCGTTTCACAGGCATACGTGAGCTGCCGCGGCACCAGCTCGGCCAGGCATCTCATTTGCGCCGCAGCAGGAAACGGGAAGGGGGAGCCAGAGCAACGAGCCAGCTAGTTGTGCACAGCAGCACGTGAAGCTACGCAAACGCATGACAATCGCACAAAGCGTCGCGAGCGAAAACAAAAATGCGACCTGACAGCTGTTCCGCTTGTTTCCCTTCGTGTTGTAGTCAATGCTCCGGAGCGTGAAAGTAGGCAGCATTTTTTTTGCGTGTGATGTGACCACAAACGTTTTCAGTGCTGTGTAAAATATTTAGACACTCTTTACTGAGGGTACTGAGGCGGAAGAGACTATGTGTGTGCTGGCAAGAGACAATAGCAGAAAAGCTACCTAGGCAAGTGATCTTGGCAGCACGAGAGAACGAACTTGAAGCTAAGATTTCTAATGATGTTCCCCATGAATGTTTTAATAAGTTTATGTTAGCCTAAATTATCATTTTACCTTGATACAAATCTCCCCACATAAAAACTATTATTTTAAATAATATTTGTTTACTCAATTCATTTGTTCCTCAGCTTTTATTTATTCTCCTTAAGTCTAGCAGAGCATCAGCTCTTCTAGATCGTAGCGTTTCGCAATGGCAATTGTTGTCGCCGAGCTTCTTTTTTCGTGTGTTCACTGCACAGGTAACCTGCAATTAAGCTCATCAGTTTAATGTGTTCTCTGTCATTGTGGTTCAGCCGGTGCGCCCGGCGGATGCTGGGTATTAATTTGATTCACCCCAGGCAGCGAGCAGAGACTCTGCCAAGCAGTCAGCCAGCCAGTCAGGTAACAAGCATGTCGACGGGTCCTGTACGTGCTTGTGAAATTTGGCAGGATACAAGGATACAGAACAAAGACAGACACACACACATACACACACACACACACACAAAATATATATATGTATAGCTACACTTATGCTCTGTTGTATGGGTTGCTGAAGTGGCTTAAATTTCAGTGCTAGACTCCGACTTGCAGTTGGCTACTATTGACACATTTCGATGTAAACTTGGCAGCGCTCATAAGCCAACACATGGAACAAGCATAATCCTAGCACATCCTTGCGCACACATTTGCTTATGACTCCCCCCCACACACACACATATATATACACACACACATGCATACAATGCCAGCAGCACTTGCTGAGGCCATCGAAAGCTCAACTGCTGTGCGGCTTACGTAGCGTATGTGTAATGTCCATAGCTGACGCTGTTGCTGCTGCTGCTCCTGCTATTGCTGCTCCTGCTCCTGCTGCTACTAGCCTGACTGTTTATTTGCTGTCATTTTAGTTGCTTTAAATTTGCAGCTTAATGGCAATTCTACGCTTGACCACACACGCCCCCTGCCTCTCATCCACTTGAGCTGTTTGTCGCACTCCCCGTTTGCTGTGGATGCCCGTTCCGCCTGTTGCCATTGACTGTTGTCCAGGCTAATATTGCTGCCCGATGTGGATGTTGGTGCATGAAAAATTGTTGCTTTAAGTGCACCCCAACTAAATCAGCTTTTGGTTGCAAGCATCCCATCCCATCAATAGGCAACTAGCAGAGACCGAGGGTGATAGCCCATTGCCCATATTCAAGTATCACTTGACAATGCAGATAGGCGGGGTGAAAGCCAGTTCAAGTACTAAAAAATTAAATTAAAGTACATAGATAATATTGTTAGATTTGGTATTGTCTTCAATTGTTTTGAGGAGTGAAAAACTGTTTCAAGCTCTCAAACTTCCAATTCCCTAAACTAGAATTGTTGTAATTCATTTTACTCATCTTTGCTTAAGATTCATTGCTCAGAGGTAGCCAACAGTTTCATAGAAATATGCTTGAATATCTCGAAAACTATTTATTTCCTTAAAGTAAGTCCCATTTGATGGATTACTTCTAGCCTGCTCCCAGACTAAAGCCGTTAGCACGTGGGCTTGTGGCAACCGCAGCAGGCTTAGCCTGCAGCAAGCCGAACCGCAACTGAAAAATGTTTTGAGAGCATGCCACAAAGTCGCTGGCCTTGTTGAAGGGTTGAGCGCGGCGCTGCACAGGGCCGAGGGATAAGCAACTGTCGCACATTATCGCTTTGACTTTATTTGTGTTTGTGCCAAAAATAAATATGCCATTGCCCCGCCAAAGGCGACGCACTCAGCGCACAAACGCTTACGGATGGTCCCCACTGACAATTGTCTGTCTGTGCCCGGACAGACTACGGGGACAAAGCACGTTTAGCTTTAAAGCCGCGTAATTTGTTTGCACACTGAGCGTGCCCTTTGTGGCCACACTCATGCTCTGACTGAGTGCCTCCCTCCCTCTCTCCCTCTCTGTATACCAACACATATATGTTTGTGGGTGTGCTTGTGTGCCGCTCTTCGGATAACAAACTGCGCCAGCCACTGGCAATTAAAGCCATGGCCATTGACTTTAGTTGCGGCTCACTGTGCTGCGGCTCTTTAGCCTAATTAAACCGGCAACGGGCGCTGGAAGCACTGAAAGCGCTGAAAGGCGGACGAAACCTTCTAATTTACTAAAAATTGGTTTATAATTTTCTAAAATATTTTCTCTTGCGCTGCATAAATTGCGACAACGCTGAAAATTTAAATTTGAGCGAGAATTAGAATTTATGCCTCATCTTTTTGCGTGCTTCAGAATTCCGCGCGTCGCTTCAGCCATAACATTTTGTGGCATTTTCTTTTGCAGCTCATTGTTGTTTTTCACTGAATCTCTTATATTTTGCTTTTGTTTTTGTTTTCGTTTATGTTTTGCTCGTTTTTGTTTTTGCCTGAGTGCGACCCCTAATTGTTATCTATGTTGGCATCTCTGTAGCCGGGCGATAGAAATTTCTGCGTGCAGAGAAAACATTTGCTTCGACTTCTCTTTTATTAGAATTGTAAATATGCCTTCCGTTGAAAATGCGAATGAAATTTTAATGAATTTAATGCTTGCCAGCCGGGCGCGTGTCGGAGATACAAGAAATATGAAGTATATATGCCCAGATACATGCACATCTATGTACATACAACTGAATAAGAATATATCGAAAAGGGCTGCCTTGCAGGTCCTCGAACGCATTTCGTTGGAAACGGTACTTAAACAATTTGCTAATTGGCTGATGCTCTGAAGGGTTCGCATTGAAAAACTCTTTTAAAAATTGTTAAAAATTCATCAACAAAAATTAGAGAAATCATGATGGGAGCTTTCCCTAAGTCTACAGAAGAAAGCCAAAAACAGAACCGAAAATAAATAAATTTTTTATTGAAGTAATGAAAGCGGAGATAATAGGCCTGCATTAATAATAAATAGTTGAAAGAATTCTACGTTTAGCCTTTGCTAGAACTTTGGCAATGCCAAGTAAACTACTAAAATTTATAACAAATTAAAAAAGATGAAAATAAAATCAAGCAAGTGAAGCGTAAAACAAATTGTAGATTGATAAATGAATCACAAAATATAATATTAAAAGTAAAGTATTATAGATTGCTCAAACAATTTAGTTTTCATAATACATTTTTTGTAAACAATTGAAATCCGCATTAAATTTTGCACAATATTCATGGAATTTGCATTTGAATGCATTTCTACTTCTGCTAAATAAACATTGAGCACTCGACTAGGTGATAGGCAACAATTATTTCAGTCATATGCACTTCCGATTCATTGAGCACAATTAAGCACTTATGCACTTAATTTTGAGCCACGCCAGAGGCGTTCAGAGTGCGAATTCAAAGTGCTGCAACCCGCATGCCTCATGCCACATGCAACACACACGCACGCAGCCCGCCCGCCCGCGGTAAGCATTTATGGCATCGCAACAATTTAAAGAAGTTGCCAGCGACGCGGCGCCCAGTTCGGCTGAGGCTGGTAAACACATTCCGGACAGGCAGAAGACAACACAGCTGAGCAAAGAAAAAACATTAAGGAAGGGACAGCTGGAATAAATGAAGCAGCTAGCCACGAGCTAAGCGACTAGCAGTTGCCCTCCATTAACGTTTATAAGTGGAGAATTTTTTTATTTAAATTGTTTTTCATTTACAAATATAACTATCAGTGGGTTTCCAGTCAAATGTTTATGTAAATAAAATATTATTGTATAAATTATTAATTGGTAGTTGATTAAAAATTTAACCATTATTATAAATAAACAATGAATATATTGTTTTAAAATATAATTTATTTATATTATTTAAGTAATTAATTAAATCAGTTGCCTTCCATTCGAGTGTGTATGTAAAATAATATTAAAAATGATTAATAGATATTTGATTAAAAATTTTTATAAACTAACAATGAATATTTTATTTTAAAATATAATTTATTTATATTATTTAAGAAATTAATTCATTAATTAATCAGTATCCTTCCATTCAAGTGCCTATGAAAAATAATATTATAACTTATTAAAAGATATTTAATTAAAAGTTTAACCATTATTGTAAATTAACATTAAATAAATTAAATATTTTATTAAATATATTTATAAATATTTTATTTTAAAATATAACTGATTTACATTATATAAGTAATATTATTTATAATATATATTTCATTTTGGGCATTTAACAGCTTGCAGTCTCGTATACCCCACCTGCTCCTCTTTCGCATTCGTTTTTATTTTAAGGTCTGCTTCGTGGAGAAATGCAAAGGAATTGCTCTTTGACAATGCCTGTGGGGACACACACGCATTCGAGCGGCTCTCAGGCCACGGAGCGCCCAGCTCAGCGACCACGCCCAGCTGCCACGCTGTGAATATTTTGCTCCGATCCACGCGCTCATCCTCGCCCAGCGCCGGCCCTTTGATAGTGCTGTGGCGCATCTGTGTTTTATAATCGAGCCAAAGCGGAAGCAGCGAACGGAACAGAGCGTAAGGCAGGCCAGGAACTCGCTCGTTCGCGCACCTACAAAGACAATGAGAGGGAGAGAGAGAGAGGCATTGCAAGTGCGAAAAAAGTAAATTAGTGTTTTGGCACTTTCGGCAAACAAAGCGTTGCCCGACCCCCCGCCTGGCAGAGGCCCGCCCGCTGACCCAACCAGGTGGCAGTTCATGCTGCCGGGCTCGAGCTCAGCGGCAAGCTGAGTTATCGTCCTGCCGCTGGTTCAGTTAGTTAGTTTTGTGTCCTTCACTTTGGCTGTTGTTGTTTTTGCGTTGTTTTCGTTTTTGTTTTTGCTTTTTTCTGCTGGCCCTTGCCGTGTCCAGTGTTTGTTTTGTGCGCTGTACATTTTGTTGTTCGCTTTTTGCGCCTTCTCCTCTTTGCCTTTGTTTTGTATTTGCCTCTTGGCGCTCTTATTATTTTGTTGCACTTTCCCCAGCCAACAACACGAGCATAAACAACCAGCCTGAACTCTACGAATTATACTATTTTTTTGTTTTTTTTTTGCATTTGTCAAAGGTAAACTGGGCCCTTCGCCCACACGCACAATGCCGAGTTATGAGTTTATATCTAATACGCATTAGTCTGTCGTCTCCCAAGACCTGCTCCCCTGGCACTCTGCATAAATTAATTAGCCAGATAAAGAACACTCAGTTCACCCGGCAGACAAAGGCTGAAATTAATTTCGAATTAGGCTGGCGCCGAAAAGCGAAACCAAAACCAAAAAACTGAATAATGAAAGCTGAGACTGGGACTGGGACTCAGCTAGACTCGGAGTCAGAGTCAGTGGCAGAGTCAGAGGCGGCTGAGATGAGTGCATAATTCGCAGGGACCGCAAGTCGGGCAATTAACATGAAAGGTCCTTAGGCCCCTTTGCATTGTGGCGTATGGCACAATTAGCGATAAGCCATGACCCCAAAAATAGGGCTACTGTTGCGATGCCCCAAGGGAAACAGCTGCTCAAACCCAACTCCATGGGCCCAGGACTCGGCTCTCGTCCTGTCTGCGTGGCATCGCGAGCCCCTTAGGGCCAAAGGCTTTTAAGTGGCATACAAGACTTAATTGTCATAAATCGATGTGAGCATAGTGGGGCGAGCGTAGCTCAGGTGGGCGTGGTAGATGTTTCGAAAGTAAGAATAAAATACTGGGAATCGAAATCCAATTTCACAAATTGTCGGCTTGCCCCCTCAGGATTTATCCCACAGAGCAGCAGAAGTGAGTTTAATTATAAATCTAATTTTATTTGACTTTTGGATTAACAATTCTGCCTCCATATGGATTGAGTTCCCTGGAACTACAACCGTTTGTTTGATTTTTCTTAAATCTATTTGCCTTATGTTTATTTTAAGAATGAGTCAGATTTCTAAAGATTAATATGATCTAAAAATGAAATATATATCTGGACATGTGTTTGCCCTATATATCTAATTCGAAATATATATAGAAAGTCTTCAATCAAACTGTAAAATGATTGTAAAACTGTATTTGAGCTGTGACGATTGCATTTGTTTAAATTGTGTTTTAATGAAATATGCGACACAATGAGGTCGTTGGGCCTCGTTGACAGCGCCCGCCCGCCCGCACACATACATATATATAAATAAAAAGAGGGAAAGAGAGAGAGGGAGAGTGAGATAGAGAGGGACAATGGCAACCGCTTGACAAATGCTTTTTTAATCCATTTGCCCAACAATTATGTGTAGCTGTCAGTTGTTTGGTGGCAGCAGGGATTGAGGCTGTGGGAGGCGAGTGGGCGTGGCCAGTGTCAGCCAAAACTATGCACAAACATAAACATAAATCCATGCATGACAAATCTGTGCGCCACAAAACTGTCAGCCGGGCGGCATTTGCCTCCATGTCTGACGCGCTCTGTGTGTGTGTGTGAGTGTGTGAGTGTGATAAGCAAATGGCACACATTTAAGTTGCCGGCGCCATTTTCGTTTTTTTTTTTTTTTTTATGCCTATGTAGCATTGCTACAGCTGCAGCCTCCCGACATGTGTCTATGTATTTATGTTTTTATGTATTTATACACAGATTATTTATACATACACACACATACATATGTGTACATGTATAAATGGCGTGGTTTTGGCGACTGCATGACAGACTGTTAAAATGTCAAAATGACACATTTGCCTAGTGTGTCATTAATATGCGACAACAACAACAGCGACAACAACAGCAGGCATCAACAACAACAGCAGCTCATGAGCAACAGCCGACAGCTGATAGTGGAATTGCCGATTGCCGATTGCCGAGCGTCGTCCGTCGCGCACGTTGCCTGCTAACCGACTGACACAGAAACCAAACGTATAAAACGACGCTGCCCAATTGCGGCGAATTGAGAGCGAATTGCGCCAGCAGCAGTTACTCTCTCGCGTAGGCTCTCAGTTACGCTCTCTTTGTGCAATTTCCCAGTATTTTAGCACTCAATGTGCCATTATTGGAGCGAGTGCAGTTCACATATTGCGACTCAGTGCAATTGCGTGGGGCATTTTATCTAATACGCCCGCTCGAAAGTATGCAATATTTCGATTAATTGTCTTTATATAAATACTTTTCATTGCATACTTTAAGGTGTCAATTGTTAATTGTATACTTATGCATATGTCTGTAGTTGTGTTTGTGTGTGTGAGCCATTTGTTAACATTTACTTAATGGCGCCGTCATAAAATAACTATTTATCCCACATATTCACAAGATTTCTTTTTTCATATTCTATAATATGCTTTTGCTTTCATATGTTGCTCCATTCGCTGCGAGAAAGCAATTTTCATGCCTTCCAGCCGTAATTTTTGACAAAGCGCGGAAAAAGATTGCCTGCTTTGTTTTCTTTTTTTTTATATTTTTATTTTGTTTTTGTTTTTGTTGCCGCAATTTGGGCAAACGGGCCGCTTGCAACATTTTTCATTTCGTGTTTCGTATTTTGAGCGCTAATAATTCATTTTTAGCGCAATTTGCTTAGTACTTTTCGGCCCCCGCCACCACCCGATTTTGACGTGCAACCTTTTGATCTCATTGCGGCGCAAAACAGGATTAACTCGGCTGGCTGAAAGGAATGCCGTTCACTCAGGTGAACTCGGCGCGGAGTTCATGAAATTTTCAAACCGCCAGAGCCAAACAAAAACCATTTCGAGCCAAGTTCTTGAGAGCGTGTGTGTGGCATAAAGCTTAAGCCTAATGCATGCCATAATATTCAGGGTCAAGCAGCGAGAGAGAGAGAGGGAGAGAGTGTGTGTGTGTGTGTGTTGAAATATACTTTTGCCTTGGCTTTGCTTCGCTTCACTCTACTCTGTTGTTTTACAATTCTCATAATAGCACCTGTCATTACGATGATTATTTTTCAAAATCACACACACAAGCACGCACACGCACATGCACATGCTCACGCACACTAATACAGTCGCTGTCTGCCGTTGTCTTCATCGCTGAAGGCACTAATCAACAATTTAAATCCATTTTCCGGGGCCAGGCAGTCGCCACCTGGCCTGCCTCTTGTCGGCGTTGGTAATTTGCTTGGCTGCTCATCTTTCACACACACACACACGCACACGCACACTCAGACTTGTATGAACTCTTTGTGCAACCGGATATACCGCTTTAATGGCTCCAAAAGGAAGTCACGCGTATTTTGTTTATAACCTGAGCCGCTGCCTCTCGCTGCCAGCGCCGTCTAATGTTTAAACTTAATGTCCTTAGCCATCTCATTGTTGCCTCTGCTGCTGCTGCTGCTGAGCACCTTGTGTCCTCCCCAGTGGCGGAAGTATAGGCTAAGAGCAGCAGCAGCAGCAGCAGCAGCAGCAGCGACTCCATGGCGCGTAAATCACGAACGGATGCGCCTACGTGCCAGCCGCCCTGCGAAGCGAGAGTGCTCCATACTCGCTCTATTGGGCATAATTAGTTTCAAATATTTGCGCTGAGCAAAATTTCATTTCCTTCCACGCATCGCACGGCGCCAACGCCTCAGCAGCAACCGAAAGAAACATGCATAATGAGAGCATCAGTGTAATGTGCTGGTTACTTAAGCGAGTGTGTGTGTGTGACTGTGTGTGTGTGTGTACTCTTGGGGAATTTTCAATTAAGCTCGCCCGCCTTCCACATTGGATAGTCTGTCTGCAAATATTGAGGGCCTTTTAGATGAATGCAATTAAAGATTCGTTCTCGAATCTCAATAAACTTAGCCAAGTTCTCTTGCATTCATTGAAAACCTCAGTTTGACGGGTCCAAATATCCTCCGCTTTGAATGCCTTTTATATATATATTTATATTTGTATTTAATGGATATAATTTCCAGCAGCTTTAATTGGCTTGCATTCTAGACTGACTAACTACAACTGGTTTAGCAAATGGTATTTTTCAAAGTGGATTGATTTGAAGAGCTGCAAGTGCTAGGCCACTCGTTGAATGCAAACATTTATGCAGCGAGGCATTTACGTTTCAGTTGCCTCTTCTCTGCTCGACTGAGCACTCCTGAAAATTACGTCAATTAGCTAAAAAGCTCTCCAGCAAGATTTGAAATCGAAGGGCAGCGGATGCTTGATTGCTCGAAATCCTTAATCGCTATTGGAGGGAGCTACAGATATAACGAAATCTTATAATCTAATAGATGAACTTCAACTCGAATAGCCAGTTGATAATGTATTTCATCTCTTTGAGATCATTGTGTATATTTTTATTTTTATTTTTATTTCATTTTATTTTTCTACATAACAGTTGAGAAGTCTTAATTGAGATGCTCAGATAAATTATTTAGTTAGTTAGTTTGCACTAGAAAATCAATAGCTGAACTATTTAGCCCCCATCAATGTGACTCACGATCAGCATAATGAATTATATTGTTCATAAACAGCTGCACAGATAACTCGACTGTGAGGGGAACAAAACGCATCGTTCATAGCTGGAACGATAGCAGAGACGTCTGGCTATGTGCATATGTAAAGAGAAATATATACAAATAATTCTTGGCTGATATGAGAGCTACTTCTGGCATTCATTTCATTTCATCGTTTTCCCATCTGCCCTGGCTAAGTAGTGTCTATAAGCAATGTTTGTGGAATCGAATGGCAGGCAATGTATTTGTAATCGACTTTTAAATATGTTCCCTTAAGTTTTCATGGCACTTTGGCAATTGGCATTACTTCACTTGCCACAAAATTGAAATGTTGACAAAAACTTTTGCACACGCAGAAAAGAAAACTCTCTCGGAATCTCAACGAACACACACACACACACCCACACACAACATCGTATAAATATTCAATCAAAGCTAGAGAACCACAGATATAAAAGTTGAGCTTAGTCTCTGTGCCGTAGCGTTCGTCGTCGGCAAACTGCAAACAACAATAAAAACTCTATTAAATACGCATAAATTAAGGCACGATGCGATTTTATCTGAGGCGCAGGGGCACATCTTCTGCTTCAATACCTGGATTTACAGTGGGATTTAATAGAAGCAACCAGCCCCAGCCAACCACCAACCAGCAACCAGCAACCACTAGGACAGCTGGACACCCACTGGGCAACTGAGGTTCATGTGCAAAGTTTTATGCCGTTCTGTGGCTTTGGCAGTGGCCTCTGGCTGCCTCATTCGCATTCAAATCAAATGAACACATTCACGACTCCAGCCACAAAATGCAATGAATTCAATGCAGAACTTTTGGGCACGGCACACGGAAAGACAGTGGGCGCAGAGCAGCAGCAGAGCAGGGGTCGGCCACAACACCTGTGCCTGTACAAGGCCGCAGCAGCAATCGGAGTGTGCTTGTCTATGTCTCCGGTGCTAAGCCACTCGCCTTAGTCGCATAAAAGTTCAGACAAATTATGCATTAGACAGTTCCACTGTGGTTTTTTTTAAGTTTTTTTTGGCATAAAGTCAATTTTTTTTTTTTTAG